TTATATATATATATATATATATATATATATATATATATATATATATATATATATATATATATATATATATGTTATATATATATATATATATATATATATATATATATATATATATATATATATATATATATATATATATATATATATATATATATATATATATATATATATATGATTTGACGACTTCTGTTAATCATGGTACTGCCCGAATGTATGCAGATGATACTAACGTATCATTCTCAGCATGTGTTTTTTCTGAACTTCAACGGCAGATGAAAAAAGACCTGGAACATTTAGAATCCTGGCTTATAGCCAACAAACTTACTTTAAATACAGTGAAAACTGAATATATGGTTGTTGGTTCAAAACAAAGAATAAATTCACTTGTGGGTGATCTGACACTTTCCCTTAATGATATATCTCTACGTAAAGTTAAGAGTACTAAGTGCTTAGGAGTGACAATAGACGAATTTCTCACATGGGATGAGCACATAGATAATGTAATTAAAAAATTAGCGATCGGCGTTAGTCTTCTACGTAGAAATAGAAAAGTCTTGAAAAAGTGCGATCTTATGAATGTATATAGAGCTATTGTAGAACCTTATTTTGATTACTGTTGTATAATTTGGGATGGCATCAGTGACTATTTGGCGTTAAAGCTTCAAAAAACTTCAAAATCGTGCAGCACGTATTATTACTGGAGCCGACTATTCGCGAAGGTCCAGTGATATATTAAACGAATTAGGATGGGAGAAGTTGAGTGAACGAAGACAAAAATGCAAAGCAGTGATGATGCATAAAATATTAAACCATAAAGCACCGTCATGTTTCTTAGGTTTATTTAGACCAGAAACTGGTGCCAATTTTTATGATCTTCGTTCTTCAACAGAGAATGTCGAACTTCCACTAGCCTAATTCGAACTGAATATTACAAGAGAAGTTTTGTTTACTCCGGCGCAAAAGTGTGGAACTCTCTTCCTGAAGTTTTGAAAAAAGAGAGTTCATTAAAGCGGTTCAAAGATCTTTTAAAAAATATCCATTTTTCCGCTGATCATTAATTAATTAAATTAATATATTTTGCAAACTATAATATACGGCTTACAGGTAGAACAAAACTGTATATGATTTTGATGTAACCACCGTATTGAAATAAAATTTTTAATAATAATAATAATAATAATAATATATATATATGTATATTTATATATATATATATATATATATATATATATATATATATATATATATATATATATATATATATATATATATATATATATATATATATGTATATTTATATATATATATATATATATATATATATATATATATATATATATATATATATATATATATATATATATATATATATATCTATATATATATATATATATATATATATATATATATATATATAATGCATATCTAATGAAATTTGATCTAATTAATTCAAGGCAATTCGGTTTTAGGTCACTGCATTCAACTATAACTGCATTATATATATATATCTATATATCGATATATATATATATATATCTATGTATATATATATATATATATATACATAGATATATATATATATATATATATATATATATATATATATATATATATATATATATATATATATATAT